CATACCATCTGCTTATACTTGAAAAGGTCCGCAACATCTGCCTGCTTGCGAGCAGGTCCGCCCTCAACCCCCCGGACCCGACTGGCAAAATTAAGAGAACAAAGGGTCTCTCCAAGATCTGCAGAACTTGGGCTGATCTGGACAAACATCAGGGTTTTGCAATCTCCACCTGCAAAGCATGTTTAACTATGTTATGAAATAAGTCTTGCGAGCTTGGTAGATCAAAACCTTAGAAATTACTAGAGAAAGGCCCACCTAGGGAACTCTGCAGCATGTGCGTGAGCTTTGAGTTTCTGTTTAAGATTGAAGTAATTAGAACGCAACACCAGTGACACTCAACCATAAAAAAGGGGAAGAGAGAGAGAGAGAGAAAGAGAGAACCTATAAGGAATGTGAGCTGATTTAGATGCAAGGGCAGATATCACATCTCCTAGTGCGGAAAGGGACTTATTTATAAATTGAGATTCCTTCAACCTATCACCTTCAACTTCAATCCTTCCAACACGCTCACTGCCGGCCAAATCAACCATCCAAAGATGACTCTTTGTCTTCTGTCCATTTATTAGGTTCTCACCCTTCACGGTCACTCGCAGTAGGCTGCAAAGGAATATTTGGCAACTATGGTCAGTGATCAATGAACTCAGTGAATAAGCTAGTGCCAGAGTACATTATTATGGATGGAGATCAGTATTGTTTAAAATTGGCTAAAAAAGCACACATCCAGCAGTTGAATTAAGTGAAACAAAATCTAGGATAGGCATAAACTAGAAAAATCACCAGTGAGAGCGGCTACTAAGCTCATTAGCACTTGTGGATCCAACTGATCTAGCTCGACTTCCAGACTTCAGTAGCTCCCACACTTCCTCTGTACAAAAAACACGAGATTCAACCAGTCCTGGAACCTCTTGAGTCCCCTCTGCAGCTTGCTTTATCTCCAACCTTCAATCACAAGCAGAAATAATGTGCATTCCTTCTTACATTACATAGACTGTATGCTTGAAATCAAATATGACTAGTAGGTACAAATGAAATGATGTAAGAAGGACCACAATCAAAACAAAACATTTGATAAGAAATAAAAAATTTATGACAAAAGTTGATGTTTGGGAGGCGAACATAAACTTGACTACTACAATGTTGCGTACAACTCAGTGGACAATCCAAATTATACATATACATGACAATAAAGCCATTTAATCAGTTTATGGTTTTCTTAATGCCTGATGCTGAAAATGTTGGGTATTCTAGATAAATGAGTCCATGTGGACTATAAGCTACTTGTCCCACGACAGTTGTCAAAGCGGTTGACCTGAACTTGAGTAGCTAAGAGTACGTGGTGGCAAAACTAGGTGTCTCGGTGTGTTCCATACCTCCATTCTATTCCAAAGAACGGGATGCTAGAATACTTTTGACATGTCATATGCTATAATAAAAAATTAGCAGTAGGTTTAACAGTAGTGCTGAAATGATCAAATAAAACAGGAGCACGGATCCCAGATCCAGGGAAACAACAAGACTCACTTCTTAGCTGGTTGTTCTGAGCTTTCTACCAAGAGGTCTCTTATCTTCTCATTATACACTTCCAGCATGCTGACAAACAATTCATATCTCATAATGCCATTTCTTTCTTCAGATATTTGAAACAATTCTTCCAAGGTTCTGTAGTTGACGCCCCTGTTTTCTTGAGTTCCTTCCATTGTAAATGTCTTACCAGTACCAGTTTGGCCATATGCGAAAATGCATACGTTATATCCATCCATTACTGAAGCGATAATAGGCTTCGTCTGAGCAAAGACAGCCTCTGCAAGATGCAGCAGATGAGAGGATGAAGAATAGTTTCCGAAAAACGTGAAAATGAGGTTTATGTCTGCAAGAAAGTGAGTCACACTACCTTGGTTATCCTCGGGCTTAAACACGTGATCAAATTTAAACGGCTTCTTCGATGCATCAGAGGAAAGGACCTGAAGCTCACTGTCCTGAGAAGGGTCAAATTCTACCACACATGCGGAGCCACTTGCATTTTCTTCCGAGTTTAATGGTCTACATCTACAGAAGACCCTTATGTTGCCTTTAAGCTCAATCACTTCATTGTACAGTCTCTTCCTTTCAGATGACACATCAAGGTACTTCTTCTTTAATCTTTCATTCTCTTTGCCTACCAATCATATGTAGGAAACCAATGAACACGATGAAATCAGAGTATAAAAATGTGGACAAGAGTTAGAAAGTAGAGAGCGCTTACTGAGTCGATCGATCATATCAATTAGTTCGGGCCCAGCAAAGGCACTCGGAGTTATACCCTTCACTTCATCAGATAAAGCACTGTGCTCCTTTCTCAAATCCTGAAGCGTTATCCAATTAATAATCAAGAGAACAAGAACATTCCAAGCAATTATTTTAAACTAAGCTAGGTTGAATTGAACGGAACCGCGTTTTTGATTTGACACCAAAAGCACCATATGGAATGCTAGAATGGGGAGATGCTGCAGAAATCTTGCATTTTTATTAAGACTTCTTGCCAAGAACTTACTTGTATCTTGGAACTCAGACTTATGATCTTCTGTAGTATGGGGAGGGTCTGCCCCTGGTCAGGGGAAGATTCCCGGTTGCCGCTGTACTCGGCGGTGTCGTCAATCGAACTTTCATTTCCTTCGACTCGCTCCAAACCTGGAGCCAAATTCCTTAAATTAGGGTTTTTCATATATGCCTAATTCAAACACAAAAAGATACAATGAACAAAATCACGAAACTCATAAAACAAATACAACTTCACCAGTGCCAGACCTATCGATTCATCTACATAAACAAATCGACCTCGCTATTCATCCTTTTAAAATGCAACAACAGTAAGAGACACATCCGTCCTCGGCTTAACTTCCGCGAAACGAACGCAAAGATTCGCGCGCAAAACCTTAAAAACTCCAATCGACAGGGGAAGAAACGAGAGAAGAGAGAGAGAGAGAGAGAGAGAGAGAGAGAGAGAACGAACCGTATTTGCACGCTGCCGCAGCCGGCGCCGGAGGCTTCGCGGCCGAACTGAGGACGATGCGGTCGAACTTCTCGGAGAGCATGTCCACCGCGTGATCTGCGGGCGCGGCAAGAACCGGTCAAGACGAAAATCGATCCAAGAGGAAGAAACACGGCGACGGATCATCGAGCGCGCACGCCGACATCGAACTCGACCGACGAGGCGCGAGCAAAGCGGAGAGGGAGAGAGAGACGTACCGTCCATGGCAGAGAATCCGAGAATCGCCGGACGGAATTGGAGCGCTGGTTGCAGAGAGAGATCGCGAGAGAGAGAGAGAGAGAGAGAGAGAGAGCGGGGAGAGGATGATGGTTCTGAGCGTTACGCGAGTCGCAGGTTTTCTTTGATTGGATTCAATTTTGAATTCGGGAGGATTCTGAGCCGTTGGATCGGCGAAGCAGCTCCTAACGGCTCAAAGGTTGGAAGATGGGCTCCAATACGGGCCCTCATCGACGTGGGCTTTCTGGTTTTTTTTTTAATGGGCTTTCTGTTTATTCGATGGTATGTGAGTGTGAGTGTCTGCGCGCGCGCGCGCGCGCGCGTGTGGGTATATATATATTCATGATTATTCTTCTAAACTTTTAAAAATACAGAGAAAATTTGTTTGAAAATTCCGGGAATTTTTTCTTTAAAAAAATACATGACTCTTCTACATGTTAATATATTCCAATGCTTTGAAAGATTTATGAGGCGTCTCGTGTTTAATAAATGTCAAAATACAAATACCACGAAAACTTAAGAAGGGGCAAAGTTAGAAGGTACCGGGTAAAAAGGGCTAATTAAAAAAAAAACTCCAAATTTCACTTTGAGTGACAATTTTGACTCGAACTTTTTTTTGTCTCAATAAAAATCAACTTTTACTCAAATCCCAAATCTGGCTCTCGTGATGTAAAATATTCAAATTGTTTAGGCCAGATTTGGGATAAGTGAAAGTTGGTGAATTTTTATAAGACAAAAAAAAAAGAGTTTGAGCCAAAATTATCACTCAAAGTAAAGTTAGTACTTGTTTTTGGAATTAACCCTAGGTAGAAGTAATCAAGGAGTTGAATTTTTTTGTCACAATTTCAATTTATCAATAGAACTTGGGTTAAATTTATTATGTCTATCGTAAGTAATAAACCAAAGAGAAAGAACGTATTGCGAAATGTTGCTACTTAATTAGTTAAACCATTTTTCCAAAAAAAAATTTAGTTAATCCTAATGACCAAAAACTCTCATTTAAACCTAAGGGACAAAGTTATGACCAACAAAAAAACAACTAAGGGACAAAGTGCATAATTCTTGAAAAAAATTGCTTCAAGCCGGTTTATGTGTAAGAAATGTTTCCATGTCCAATGCACCGATTACAAAGTAACACGAGACACCTGAGATGAAATGGTAAAGTTTTCCTTTATTGGGTAATTGACAAGTGCCTCGTATATGATTCGGCTTTGCCTCACAATTAGATTTTCTGCACCGCCGTTCCATTACATATTATAATGGATCTCTCATAATCACCAACTCATAAATAATTTGCTAATTCAAACAATTGTTGGACACCCTCGAGGTACTCTTCTACCGCACAATGTGCTTATCGACTAAATATTTGACCATGTATGGTTAACATTATTAGAGATAAGGAGATCCATGCTCCCTAAGGAATAAAAGAAATTTATAAATTAACGCACTCATCTTACGTTAAATCATGATCCGATTGTATTTCAAACTAATGGGCAAATTACTTAGAATATTTTTAGCACAGTTGAATGCTATTCCATATATTAATCGAATCGACACACTTTCGCAATCAAATCGACTGAAATGATAAGTAGACCAAGTCGAAGTCAATCTTAGGCTGTGTTCAGATCGGAATGCTAAAAAAATAAAAAAATTGCAAAAATATAAAGTATTTATTTTTAATAAATTGTCATAAAATAAATAAATAAAATCTAAAAAAGAGGGTTCGTTAAATAAAAGTTAAAATTAGAAAGAAGAAAGAAACGAAAAACACGAATAAATAGCGTAGATTTTTCAGCGAAGTGGTGACGAAGACAGAGCTTCGGGTGAAACTCGTTCATGGCTTCTTGAGGCTGAGGAGAGCTATCCATGGCGTCTTCGCTTCCCAGTTGCTCGTTCTACTGCCGCTCTGCTTCCGCACCCACCATCCACAACTTCGCCAATCGCTTCTCCTTACCTTCTTCGACCTCCACACTTGGTGGCTGGAGCCGACTTTCGGTTCGCAGAGATTGGCACGCCTTCGAAGCGCGTGCCAAGTTCGAGAAGTTCCAGGGAGAGGAGGTGGGTGATGACGTCGAAGTGGGTGTGTTGAATTCTCCAGAGTCCCAAGAAGAAGGAGCAATTATGGAAGGAGATGACGAGGACGACAGGTTCGGTTCAGTAATAATGAAAGAAACGTTGCAAATTACCGTGGTTGGAATTACTGGGATATATGTGGAGTTAGGCTTTGAGGGTACATGAAAATACTGTTTCTAGGATTGAATTTGATTGTCAACTCTTGTAGAATGATGATATGCTTCTTGGTTGGACATTTATGTAACTGGGAAATTTATTTGAATGTACTTTTTGTGCCATTCGAGCTTGAATTCTGGAGGTCTCGATTTGGTTGCGCGGCTCAGTTTTACATATATGTAGGAACTGAATATATGAGAGGCTAGTGGTTTTAGTTTGCTGATAGTAGAATGAGCTTCTTCAAGTTACCTGTCGGAATCGGCATACATGGTTGGGGATTCATAAGGAGATTTACACTTCGAACGAGGCAGATTTTGGTTGTAATTGTTGTGTTATAAATGATGAATCCAGAGTGCCGGACATTAAGTGGTCACAGGTCTCAAAATTAGCATTTGGTGTGTTGATGGTGATGAGTTTTCATTTCCAATTATAGTTTCCCATCGGGAGTGTTTAATGGCCTTGACGCTTTGGAATGCTTTATCTCATTGAGAGTGAGAAAAACTGACGGAACGTGCTTTATTTTTCAGCTGCTTGCCTTCTGATTTGGAGGGTGCGGTCCGGCAATCAAGTGAAGCAAGTGCCTCATTCTTGTCTTCTGGAGGGACGAGAGCCATAGTATGTACCATTTGCTCAGGAAACTTTCAGGAATTATTTATTGTCTTGCGTTTCTTCTCTTTTGATTTGGAATGGGTGTATAAAAGACTGGGAATGGGGTAATCTCTGATGTTGTGCATTATTCTTAGCAATCTGCAGTATCAAAAGACAATTGTTGGTTTCTTTACCAAAAAAAAAAAAGATAATTGTTGGAATGTGTAATTTGTTTAAGCAACCAAATGACCCCATCTCTAAATTTTATTATGTGCATGTAGCATATGAACGAACCTTTCCTAGACATTAAGGTATCAACTTTGAGAAATTTTGTCATCATATTGATGGAGGGACAAACCACTAAGTTAATTGAGAGGGTCGATGGAAGATTGCTGGAGTGTTATCTTACATTAACTTACATTAGTGCATCTTAACTCAAGTACTTACAGTAGCATCTCCAACTTTTATGTTTTTCAGGTAGAGCTCTTAATCCCGCAACTGCAATTCCTGGATGATGAAGGTGCACAAGCTGAACTTTGGGAACTGTCAAGGGTCTTCTTGGATACGTTAATTGCAGAAACAGGATGTCAGGTAAGTTGCAGAAACTTTTTCTAGTGTCCGAAAATTTGTAATGGTTTCTAGTTATAGAGAAATGAGGGTCTTCTCTGAATATGCAACCTATCTGACCAGTGAACAACAAGCAGTCTAAAACTCTAGCTTCCTGAAAATCAAGTTCATCAAGACCTACGAAATGCATGCTTGTGCGTGTAATTTTATCATGTATTGAACTCTCATCTCCTCAACGTCGTAGTTCAGCAAGGCCTATTAAAGGCATGAGCATCGGGAAATGTTATCACTCAAGGAGCTTACATGATGAAAAACTTGATGCATTGAACCATGGTCACAAGTATATTGATTCCTTCAGAATATTAGTTCATATATGTTTTGCTTCTGCGAATTAATTGCTAGAGAATCAAAGCTGTATTTCCAGATGCTGGTGCTGCTGCTCTTCTAAAGTATCGATGGCAAGATGCAGCCTTTGGATTCTCCAGGTAATGTTTGCCTGGTTAGTGAAGTTATTGTAACTTTCCTCCTTTGATGTTACGCTATATCATGAACTCCTTTTGAATTAAGTTGATTAAGGCTGGATTCTTATCATTCAGTTCAATTATCATGAATTTGCCGTTATGGATTTGTCATATGGAGTTCTTTTTTCCATTTTCTTTATACAGCTTAAGTGATCGAAAACCAGTGGAAAAAGAAGATGAGATCATAGTTATGGTTGTTCCTGACTATCAGATGTTGGAGTATGTGGAACGGATTGCATCTGATCTCTCAGATGACCCGGTACCTATCTTAAACAATTTGCATTCATGATCAGATATAGGGAAGGCAGGGTAACTTCTGGAAGGAGAGAAAATCTTTTATTAGTCTTAATAAAGGTGTCTAGATGCACACAGATGCGCACATCTGTGTGGATGCAAGCAAATTGGATGGACTGTCCTGTTATACCTGTTACAGGAGTCTATGCAAATCTTTTGCTCAGCCATCCTGAAGAAGGTGTAACTTCTAAGAGCTGTATTACCTCTCATAGCATTGTCATGAATCTGATCATAAGCATCATGAATCACCAAATTAAAGAGGGGGGGCGCGCGGTGGGGGGTGAAGGGATGGACAGGAAAAGAAGGAAAACATTTCACAACCATATTATTACAGAATAGCTTAGTCTATAATATTATGCCAATTGAAAATTTTCTCATGCTTTTAATGCCAATATTCTCTCACATTCTCTTGCATATTGCAGCCAAGGCCCCTCATCATGTGGAATCCACGCCTTATCAGTGAAGATGTTGGAGTAGGGTTTAATGTCCGAAAGTTGCGGCGATACTTCTTGAGGTAAACCTTCCCCGTATATCATGCCCACCAATCTCCCTTTTTTTCTTTAACTTTCGTGAGGACTTGTTTTATGTGAACTAAATCAAGCGGGCACTCATTCAATTTCAAAGACGAGCTGCTTTTTGCTGTTAGCCTCGCAAAGCACCTATGTTAATTTTGGTGTTGCCCCTACTTATTCCTTTTTGGCTATCAAGGACCTCAAAATGCAAGGCCAAAATTTGATCTTCCCCTTCAGTCAAAATCCCATGACATGAGAAGCTCTCAATATTAAATGTTCTTTGTGAGACCTCTTTTCTTGTTCATGAGCATGGATTGATGGTGTCTGCTGCTCTAATTTGCATGTTGTTCTAATAAGTTGATAACCCTCCCACTGATGTGCAGCACTTTTACGACGGTATATTCAATGAGACCCCTCCCATCTGGCGCTGTATTCCGTTGTTACCCTGGGTAAGATTCAAAATTGTGTGCCTCTTTTCCCTAACATTTGCGGTGCCTCTGTGATTCTTCTTTGGTTTTTGTTCGTTCAGGGCCAAAGTTTATACGATTCTAGGCTTGTTTTATGCCTCAGTTTTGCGGTTTTAGCTGTGTGACCTCCTTGATGTTCCAAACTGAAATAGAAGATTGGCTACTTCCTGGCTGGTTTGATTTATAAGTTTGATGCCAAAATTGGTAAAGCCAATACCATACTTGATGAGAGAAATGTGTGATCATTGTTAACTTATTGTATTCCAGCTCTACATCTCGATACTAGTGAATATCGTTGTCTAGCTTCTTTAGTACCAAAATTGTGGATTGGTTCTGCCTAGTTGAGTTATTTTGTGTGATCATTTGAATCTTATAAGGTTACCTTATATCAATTTTGTGAATCATAATATTGACACCAAAGTTGCTTCATTATCTGCGACCATTTGGCCATTTTGACCAATAATCATGGTGCTCTTCTTTAACACCCAATGCAGTTGGTGTCCCATGTGTTTCAAACCCTAATATTTCATTCTCCCTTTTCACTTCGCACCAGATTGTGGAAGGTTTTTTATGACGATAAGGATAGGCCAAACCGATATTTACTTGCCAAAGAAATGGTTAGTCGTCCGGATGCAGAAGAACTTGAGGTTAGTCAACCTATTATCTTGAGTGACGGCGACATGTATATCACATTGACATGATGCATAGATTTTTTGTATCGAAGTGCCTAGCAAATCTTGTTGGATGACTGGCTTTTAGAAAAACTTTCTCCTAAGATATCGGCATTGGGATTCAAAGAGTGAAGACATATGCATCAGTTGACAGTGGAACATTCTATTTTTGCAGATAATTTATGGAGATGTGGAAGAGTCTGAGAAGGGTCCATCCTTCTTCAATGCAGCAGCCGGAATTTTCTCGTCATTAAATCGATTTGTGAAAGCCATTTCAAAGTAATGCTCATATAACTAAGTGTATCCTGTTGTTTTTAATAGGTATGTAACTTTGTAGAAGTGGAATTATGTCCAGGCAAAATATAAACTGTTGAATTTTACATTAAAAAATATAAGAAGGCGAGAATAAATCTACACCTCTCGAAGCAGAGGTTTGAGTTCAGCGTTTGAGACGTGTGGATAGAGTCTATGCTCTTTTAACAGGCTCTGCCTTTAAGCTGGTTCTAATAACCATAAGAAGAAAAACAGAAAGGTCATTTTGATTTGGACATTGTAACTGAAACGATTTCATGAACCGAGTGTTAACGAAGGAAATCGTTCAAACGTCGGACCTGTGAGAAATTCCTTTCTGATGCAAATAAAGAGGCAGAGACATCATTTTAGTAATCCATTCATGACAAGATAAGCTTCCGTTCCCCCTGAACTAATCAACTGACAAGGCGAACGGCTGTGACTGATTTACAGCCGCCTCAATGTCCAACCTATATGTGGCCGGATAGATATACTAACACTTGAGATAAATACAATTTTCTGAACCCTTCTGCGTAGATGTATATAGGTATATTGCTATCGGTACAATGATTAAGAAGCTCTACAATGAAATCCTACAAAATGCATGCAAAAACCAGATCATCCTTGAAAGAATGATTGCAGAACTAATTTGCCCTGGCTCTCCTCCCGTTAAAACAGCTCAGGTGATGAGGTTGTATCATCTAGTACCATCTATGTTGATTAATGACAACCATATTCATGGTAATTGGTAGTATCAGCTTGCAGTCCTTGAATGGAAACAGAGTAACGCATCATTGCTGTTACTGCAAAACAAGCAGCTGTACTTAACATTTCAGTACCAATCTACATGTTTGGTTGAACTCTTGGGCTGCTTCTTTGGCTTCCGGAACCGATTATTCTCAAACTTGGCTTTCACAATCAAAGAGTATAGCAGATCTGCCTCAGCTGAAGTATCATACGGCACGTCCATTATACTACAGGGCAAATTAACAGAAAGAAAACCACGTCAGGTTAATATGCATGAGTAGTAGAAATAAATATGGATCACAATAACTAAAATAGTGGGGTTTCCACTCTCTTTCTTTTCTCCTTTGCGATGGAACCTATCACTTAAAAGCAAAACCAAGCATACAAAGGGTGCTTAATTTTGATGACCTGAACAAATACTGCATTGAAAGGTATGATTAGGTGCCACCCTGGAACTAGGCAAAAGCAAGAACACAACCACAGCCAGAGTACAATATGAGTGCTTTTATCCGTTTATTTTTTTTTTTGGCCAGACAGTGCTTTAATCTGATTGACTAGGCATATGTATCTTGGAGATTATAGTGAGTGACTACCTGTCAAGTAATTCTTCTAGGATAATTCTCTGAGAAGGAGTTACACAGTGAATGCAATTTCTGGGGCACTGACCAACAGCAATTTGCACCGGATAGTCATCACCATTTCCTGGCAAAACCAACAGCTTCAGTTCAATGGCTAGGGCACCTTAATTTACTTGGGAATTAGGGAGTGACAGGACTACAGCCAGATACTGCAGAATAGACGGGATCTTAATTACAATGTAACGTTATCAGTCTCTTTTTCTTTTTCCCCTCTTCTCTGCACTGATTGCATGCATTGATGCTCATGCATATGAAAAACGGGGGAGGACTTCGCCTAGCAAACTCACCTTGGGAAGTTGCACGAGCAGTTCCTCCAGATGTAGCAAACGTGAACGCATGTGGGGCTGCTTTGACGCATGAATATGGACACACTGCAGAATGGAACATTCTGCGATGAAGATAAACAGGGCCAGCGAACTCGGTGTCTCAAGTCAGATTTGGTTTTGTGGTTTTGTAAGAGAGAATTAGGGTGTCTAATATTCCTGATTTTCCCCATACAAGCAACCAGAAACAGGTTTTGCGTTGCACTTACGAGCAGGCAAACCACTTTCAACTGCTAGTGAGTAGTCACAGAACGTTCATGCCTTGCAAGCTGTTTACCTTTTTCGGATATTTCCTTGATCAGAAGAGAGTACAAGCTTTAGAGGCCTAGATTGCAGCTAAAGCCAGTTTTACAAAAGCAAGATCCCATGAAGAAGCACCCTTTTAGCAGGTCTAGGCATCGCTGAAGTACTGACGTGGATATGCAAAAGTTCATGAGTAAAAGGATAAAGCCAGTAATGAGTACCTTTGCCGACACAAAGAAGCTCATTCACAAACAGATCAAGTGCTTCACATTCTGGTTGATCAAAAGGATCTAGGCATTCACTGGACAAAGAACAGAACGTTACCATCATATTAACAGAAAAAATATACCATAACCGACTCCAATCTTTTTGACTTAACACCGAATATGAACAGCAAGTCCCCCGAAACAATTGGATCTAGTTCACAAAGATAAACAGCTTATGAGTCCCTAGAAGAGTAGAAGACTCAATAACATCTCAAACTTCCAAATAACAGACTTTTTTTCTTTTCGCCCAAATTACAGACTTGAGAGCATATAAAGGTCTGAATTTTAAGGTCGACCGAAAAATGCTCTGCCAGCTAATTCTGCAAGCTAAAGGCACAAAGATCTGCCTCACCTCTCAATGATTTCAGACCAGCTGTAGTCCGATAGCATCTGCACACATCATTCCTCACCATAATCACCAATTTTTACTTTGTAGTCACCAGTTCATAAACATGGCAAGAACCCTAGAAACTAGATACACTTTGTCAATAGAAAAGCTTCCAACGTTGAAATTCATGCAGTCGCACTCACAACAAATGCGTATCTAAGAGGTGAGTATTTACAGAGTTTTCCAGAAAAAAATTCGCAAAAAAAAGAAAATGCTAGGTCCCTCGAGCAGTAATCAGAATTAACTTCTGGGAGAGCATTCCGTGCCATTATTCTAAACACAAATTCCAGATGTAAAATATTTTCAAGGCGAGCATTCCTTGCCGTTATCCTAGTTTCGTGGAATTCTCACAGTTCAACAAGCAATCCGTGTTTCATGATAAACTAGCTATAGTGCTATTTGTAATAGCAGACACTGCTTAAGTGATTTAACTGATACCAACACTATAGTAATCAGAACCCAGAGGGACGCCATGGTTCTGCGGTGACAGAAGTTCTTTTTCAAGAAAATCGTTCTTGCAAGTGATGTTAATCAAGCAAACATTCATTTAGCTTCGTGTTTAGTCATCTCTGTATCAACCCATATGCCCAAAGACCCTGCTTGCGGAAATGGACTCTCTCGGCCCGCTTACGCGCGAAAAAAAAAACGTAGGCAGCGCGATCATACTCCACCAATGCGTCAACCAAGTAACAGGAGATAGTTAGAAGGACTGAAGTACTAGGGTCAATGATCAAACCTCATAAGCCTGAATCACGAGCCGAATCATGGCATCAGAATCGCCATCTCTGTTCACGTCAGGATGGTGCTGCTTCACCTTTCCATCAGAAGACAAACACATCAACCGCTTCGATACAAACCAAGAAAGATCAAGAAACAGAATCAAAAGCAATCAATACTTTGGCTCGGAAAGCTGCTTTGAGCTCGGCGGCGGAGCAGCTCGGCTCGACACCGAGGACGCCGCGAGCGGACGAGCTGTCAAGAGGGTTGCCGCCGCCGCCGCCGCCGAATCTCCCCCTGCAGCTCACGGAGAGATTAGGCCTCGACGTGGAAGGGGAAGCGATCGGCGAGCCGATGAAATGCGAAGCCGTTCTGGCGACTCGTGGAACTGAAGTAGGCGACGAACTGGAGAGACACAGAGGACGATCCATCTTTCGTTTCCAAAGATCGTCACTACGCAAGTGAAGAAGAAGAAGAAGACAAGGAGGCGGTCGAGGACCAACCGACACCGTTTTTCCGGTTAGGATGACGTCAGGAACGTGCCCCATGTGTGGACGAGAGAATCTTGCTCGCTTTGGTTTGTCGGGCCATTTTCGTCTTTTTCTCATTGTTTCTTAAATAGTTATATATAGTTTGTTTCCCTAAGGCTAAGGGTGATCGAATACGGGTAAGCAAGACGGACCGGGAACCGCCGGGACCGGCCGGACCAAATCGGCTAGTTGGGTCCGATACTAAGGGAAATTCGAACCGTACTGACTATATATATATTCTACTCCTTCGAAAAATTAAGGAAAGAAAGCGGCATGAATGGTCATATTGATTTGCTTCGCTCCCGTTATACTTAAGTATCTCTTTCTCTTTCTTTTATTATATTTTCCTTTTCTAGGCGGGTAAGTTGCAGACATAAAAATTGGAACCGACACGTTGACCTGACCTGGAATCGAATCGTTCGGCTGCAAGCCAGTGCTGAGGTCAACCCCAAAACCAGCCTAAGCTTCTCTTTTCTTCCGTTCATTTTAATATATATATATACACAAAATACGAATAGTATAAAACAAGCATAATATGTCAAACATATTCAATACTGAAGAGCCGAAGAACTTAATGAGGGTTAGGGGTGAACCGGTTTAAAATCGATCGAGGTTCAAGTTCTACCTTGAAACCGAACTTGTCAAGGTCAGTTGCGATCCTAGATTGAAACAGCCGAGTAGGGCCGATTCCCGAGTTGAAAGGTTTAAGATGAAATAGAAGCTATAGACGTTGCTTGGCACCTTCCACCCCCACAACTGATAAACCACACGATCTGGTGATCGAGACTCGTAGGCTCAGGCCAAGCGTCTTCGGCGGACTTCGCCATTTGTTTAAGGTCATCATAGAAGGGACAGTAGAGAGTTCCTTACAAGTACTTCTCAAGGGTCTTGGGTCTATGCCAATGAACATAGTAAACGCTCCATATTTAGGCTTCACCATATTTAGGCTTCATTTGTTTCGTTAAAAAAAAAATTTGAAAAATATTTTTTTAAGAATGATTGCTTGTATCGTTTGAAATAATTAACCAAAGAAAATATTTTCATTATCGACAATAATTTATATCTATTATTTTCGTGGATGATGAAATATTTTTTTCATTCATTTATTTTTGTAGGCGATATAAGGCGATCATTATTGATAAAATGTTTTTTAGATTATTTATGTTCCGCTAAACAAACCGGCCTCAATGCATCAACAGAGGAGCCAAAGAGAGTGTCAAAGAGCTCAACGCAATTCTCCATTTTTGCTTTCACTCAATATCTATGGTCTTATCTGATGGGTGCCATTTCATGCCTTATCCGAGATGAATCGGGGGTGCTTTGCGACGAATTTACTAGATCCATTCGGACGTCATCCATTTTGCAGCTGGAAGCCCTAGCTCTTGTAGCAGGCATAAAGCACATGCAAGGGAGAAGAAGTGGAGTGTTTGAGTTTGAGTCGGACAGTCTGGAAGTAGTCAATGCCATTAACAGCTCAGATCAGCCTCCGTGGGAAGTTAACGCCATTATCTTAGAGGCCCGCGACTTACTGGGCCGGCTTTCTATTGTCTTTGTAGCCCATATCGATAGAGGTGCTAACCAAGCTGCAAACTGGGTGGCTAAAGCCCAAAGACATGGAGTGAGTAGTCAACCCTTCTCAAAACCTTTGGAATTTTACTTTGTCTTGGTGCTCCTTCGTCGAGCTTTTATGGTTAAGAACTCCTTACTTCAATAAAATTAGTTTTTCCATACCAAAAATATATCTGTGGTCAGTGTTAAGAGGTGAGGAATTGACTAGCTTGGAGGCAATGAGCACTAAGTTCTAATCAATTGATAGGTGCTTGATGCATGAAATGATAATTGTGTTTCCCCAATTTTTTTTGTTTTTGGATTTTGTAAAGAACAAGTCCGACGAGAGCAAGGACTGACCGCTGAGGCAATGAGCCCAGATAAGGAGTGGCTCCTAACATGCTTCTAGGATGGCAAGAGAGCAAAATTGAAACGAATTGTACATCGAGTAGAGGAAGCTTTTGAATTATATATATCAAATTGGAATTAACTCACAAGATGTGCCTTTTAACGTAACAACATCGTTCAGTATCGGAACCCCACAATCGCTCTTAGGTAAGAGCATTGCCAGGATGGAGGAACTTTTATGAAAGTGCCTACATCTGCGATGCTCGATACGGGACGCGCTAAAGCAAACGATAACTTGAATGGGTTAATCTAGAGTGCCATGGTTTCTTAATTAAGCTTTTTTTATTTGCCACTTCATTGATAAAGTTTTTTTATTATTCTCTCAGAAATTCGAGCCATGAACAGTTTGTCTGGTCATCCCAATTGCCTTAAAGTCGGCTGTCTTGGACGAAAGTAGAAAGTTGACAGAATTGAGTGCGCTTTAGTCTCGATTCATCTATGACGAAAGTGGAAAAGTAAAGATGGTATATCTGCCCTTGCACCAAGGCCAGCTCACATTCCTTACATTACAGGTTCTGTCCGTGTGTTTATTAATAGTCACATTAGATGCAAGGGAAGATATAACATCTGCTAATATAGCAGTAGAAATCGAGATTCATTTCCAACTATGGTTAGTGATCAATGAACTCGGTGAAAAGCTAGTGCCAGAGTACACCGTTACGGATCAAGAATAAGATCAGTAGTCCTTTAAATTTGGCCGAAAAAGCACACATGCGGCAGGTGAATTAAGGAAACCAAAATCTAGGGAAGGCATAAACTAGAAAAATCGCCGGGGAGATCGGCTAGTGAGCTCATTAGCACCGGTGCATCCGACAGATCTTCCTCGACTTCAGTAACTTCCACACTTCCTCTGAAAAAAAAAACAAAAAAAAAACCACCAGATTCAACCAGCCCTGGAACCTCTTGAGTCCCCCCTCTGCAGCAAGAATGTGTATTCCTCCTCGCATCACTTACACTGTTCCAATGCTTGAAATCGAATATGACTAGTAGATACAAACGATGATTTAAGAAAGACCAATCATAACAAAGCATTTGATAAGAAACTCGAAACAATTCATGCCAAAAGTCAATGTTTGGGGAGTCAAACTAAAATTTGACTATTATAAGGTCGCATAGACCTCACAATTGATGATCCACATTATACATATACATAGACTACAAAGCCATTTGAATTAGCTTCATTTGAATTAGTTTAACTACGTTGAGTATTACTAGATAAGAGAAAGTCCGTGTGGATTATGAGTTACTGCTTCCATGGCAGCTGTCAAAGCTGTTGAGCTGTATTCGAGTGACTAAGAGGAGTAGGCAGTGGCAATACTAGGTGCCTCGGTCCGTCGCATACCTCCGTTTCCATTCCAAGAAACGGGGAGCTAGCATAGTTTTGACATGCTATATCTGACATTAGTATATCAGCAGTAGGTTTAACAGTATTGCAGAAATGAATTTACATAGAACAGGAGCACTGATCCCAGACCTAGGAAAACAACAAGGCTCACTTCTTAGCTGGTTGTTCTGAGCTTTCTTCTGAGAGGTCTCTTGTCTTCTCATTCTACACTTTCAGCATGCTGACAAACAATTCATATCTCATAATACCATTTCTTTGTTCAGACAACTCGTCCTTCTGGACAGATACACTGTATGCATTTTCGCATATGCTCAAGCAATTCTTCCAAGGTCCTGTAGTTGACTCCCCTGATTTCTTGCTTTCCTTCCATCGTAAATGACGTTCCAGTACCAGTTTGACCATATGCCAAGAATGCATACATTTATCCATCAATTATTGAAGTGATAATGGGCTTCGTCTAAGCAGAAACAGCCTCTGCATCATTCAGAATATGAGAGGATGAAGAACGCGTTTCTGAAAATGCGAAAATGAGGTTAGTGTCTGCAAGAAAGTGAGTCGTAAATATGCACGATTCCTTGGTTATCCTTGGCCCAAGCACTTGATCAAATTTAAACTGCTTCCTCGATGAAACGGAGGAAAGGACCTGAAGCTCGCAGTCCTGAGCAGGGTAAAATTCTACCACACAAGCAGAGCTATGTGTTTAATGGTCTACATCCACAGAAGTAGAGGTGGCCACGGTTCGGAACCGACCGGTTCCGGTTCGGAACCGACCGGTTCCGGTTCGTGGCCAAGTGTGAACCGGAACCGTACGGTTCCGGGCCGGTTCCTATTTTTTTCTGTTTTTTTTCTTTTCCTTTTCCTTTTCTTTTTTTTTTCTTCCTCCGTGGCCGGCCATAGCCGGGGCCGGCGCGGAGGTCGCCGGCCTCTAGGCGAGGCGGCCCTCGCCCGCGTCGGGCGAGGCCGGCCCTCACCTGGGCTGGGCGAGGCCGGCCGGCCTCGCCCGACGCCGGCGAGGTCGAGCCTCGCCGAGGGCCGGCCTCGCCCGACGCCGGCGAGGTCGAGCCTCGCCGGGTTGCGGCGAGGCCGAGCCTTGCCGGCGTCGGGCGAGGCCGGCCTCGCCCAGCCCGAGCGAGGGCCGGCCTCGCCCGACGCCGGCGAGGTCGAGCCTCGCCGGTTGCGAGGCGAGGCCGAGCCTCGCCTCGCCGGCGTCGGGCGAGGCCGGCCTCGCCCGGCCCGAGCGAGGGCCCTCGCCCGACGCCGGCGAGGGCCCCTCGCCCGACGCCGGCGACCTCCGCCCGGCCCCGGCCATGGCCGGCCGGCGGCCGCGGAGGAAGAAAAAAAAATTAAAATATAAATTATAATTTTAAAAAACAGAAACAAGGAAAAAAGACAAAAGAGAAAAAGGAAAAACAGAAAAGGAAAAGGAAAAGAAAAAGAAGAAAAACAGAAAAGGAAAAACAGAAATGAAAATAAAAAAATTTAAAAAATACTATTCTTGTGATAGAACATTATTCAATATAAATTGTGATTAAAATGTAAATTGTACTCAAATTTGGGGACAAAAAGACAAGAGAGAAAGAGAGGGCTTCAAGCCTTCAACTTAATAAATTATCATTAAGCACATTACAATTCGTTACA